GATCCGACAGCGACGAATTGAAGAACACGAAGGAATATAAATTGAGCAGCTCACAAAGAACAGAGAACGGTAAGCCACCCTGAGCAAATACTGCCAAACAGTGGAAAGTGCCCGGCGTTCATTTCGAGGCTGAGAGCCTTGCTCTGGCGAGCAAGGGATGCATTACTGTATACAACCTGTGGCTTTATATGATTGTAAACAGGGCGACAAGGGTAAGACTGTTGGAAGACTCGTCATATTAGATGAAGAAGACATTAATAGGCCTCCAGCACTGTCTAGAAATTACAGGGCTGGTTCCTTCACTCCACCGTTGTAGTCACTAAAGATCCCTGCGACAATTTCGAACACTTACCGGTATTTCACACTACACGGATTCGAGTGGAGGAGCGTTCGAGCGGTGTTCCCTTACTATGATAATGCATCATCTCAGATTCTGGCTTCCCGCTCATATGTACTCGCATCGTGGATTTCATGTCAATCGCTTATATAGCTGTCTGCTATCTTTACATACGACCGCAATCATTCGCTCCTGTACCACAACGGACTGTGTATCAACCGCTATCTGTACCGACCTCATCGCTGGTCATTCGGAACCGGGCGTGCGGATGCAGCGCCGATACCCTCAAGTTAAATAGCCTTGAAGGCGGCAGTGACTCTCTGCCGCTGTAGCGCTCAAGTGGGACCGTGGGAGAACGTACAATGCTTGCAGTTGCCAGAGGTTGCCAGCATCTCAGTCGATCTACCATCACCGGCACACTGCCACCCTGGGAGTACGCACTCTTTCCGAAATGGAGGAGGAGACGACATTCTTTGAGCGTGAACGCGATCGCTTGACAGGAGAAATCACCAGCGTGAGTACAGACCGTCAGGACGAAGTCCGAATTACAATATTACAATTCTCAGGGCTTCGAAGAACTGCTCTCCTCGAGTAATGGCTTGAACCGCAAACTGGAGGAAGTCCTAGGCATGACGCACGAATACGAGACTATTGCCGGGCTATGGCAGAACTTTCATGAACTGATGCGTGGACAAAAGGTCGAGGGGGACATTTCGTCGACGGAGACCCAAGGAATGCCAGGAACAGGCGGGCATGTGCTCGCCGCCAAGCAGGAGAGTACTGGTCCTAGCCAGCACGATGTATGACAGTATAGAGATAGTCCAGTGTAAAGGAATTGTCATGCACACAACAGGTATCCAAGTACATGAAGGCGAGAAGAATGCAGCAAACGAATAAGATCATAATAATGTCAAGAACACGTATACTATCATACGTCTGCCCATGACGCAACCTGAGATGCATACCGTGAGCGTGAGAGCACGATCAAGGTCGCGAAACTCTTACCCAAGAGAAGCCATTGAACTCGGCCTGATCACGACTTGACAGCTGTGTATGAACCGGCGTCAGTGTGGGCTGTTCACGAGTGAACTCCTCATCGAAGTTGCTCGTGTCAGCAGTGCCGTTCTACGGATAGCGTGAATCAGCGCGCCAGCAGTCTGAAAGGCTATGAAGTACGTACCACAGTAGGGAAATACGGAGGTGGGATGCGCTTGTTCATGACGTCATCAAAGTTGACATCCTTGAAGAATGGATGCCGCTTGATCTCTTCCGCATCGCCCTTCCCAGAACCCAAACGTCGTGCAGGGTCTCGAGTCAGCAGCTGGCGGAAAAGTTAGCTACGGCACAACTGCGGAAGAATGTTTATACCTTCTGCAATATTGAGACTGCATCTCTTGGCATCGTGATCGGATACAGAGGCTCATCCTCCAGAGTCGCATCGAAGATCTCATCTTCGTCATCGCCACGGAAGGGAGATTGCCCAAGCAGCATTTCGTACATGAGTACACCAAATGCCCACCAGTCAACTGCACGCCCGTAACGCTGCTCAAGCAGAATCTGCGATGTACCACTTAGCTTTGTGTCATGCGAGCCGGCAATTCCACCTTACCTCAGGGGCCATGAACTCTGGCGTGCCACAGAAGGTGCTTGTTGTTGACCCAAACCACATGTCCTCCTTGCAAAGTCCATAGTCAGCGACTTTAACATGGCCATCCAACGTCAGAAGAATGTTGTCCAGCTTTAGGTCACTGCAAAACCATCTTTAAACGCCCAACTAGCCAGGATGCAGAACGAGGATACGAACCGGTAAATAATACCGTTAGCATGGAAATACTCGAGAGCAAGAAGCACTTCTGATGCGTAGAACTTGGCTTGCCGAAGGGAGAACTGCTTGCGCTGGATGTGAAGCATGAGATCGCCACCACTGACGTACTCCATGACGAAGTAGACCCGGGTCTCCGTCTGGAAGCAAGAATGGAGGCCTAGCAGGAACGGATGTCGTTCTCGCGCAGCTGCCAAGAATACACGCTTTTCCGAACGCGTACTGCCGACGCCAGCGTTAGATATCTCGCTGCTCGTGAAGGGAACTATTCCTACCTCTCGACCTCATCGTTATCGATGATGAACTCCTTCTTCAGTACTTTGATGGCGTACAAGCTGCTGGACTTCTTCTCCTCCGCAAGCATAACCTTACCAAAGTTGCCCTTTCCGAGGACGGCGAGGAAGTTGAAGTCATCCAAGCCCACTTTGCGCTTGCGGGTAGGTTGGCGGTATGGCTGGGCCGGCGCTTGTGGCAACTGCTGAGAAGCAGCAATAGGTGTCTGCTGAGCATATACAGGCGCTGGCTCTTGAGAAACCGCCTGCGGCGGCAAACTCTGCGTAATGACACTGAACATTGGATACTCAGAGAGCGTCCGCGACAACTCACCTGATAGCTATACTCTTCCTGAGACTCATAGCTGATAACACCTGAATGTGCTTGTGGCGACGCTGGCTCTTCGTGGGTGACACCTGTAGGCATTGCACCAGGAGGCAGACGTTGTGCTTGACCAGGATACGCCGCCTGTGCAGACGGCGGCACGCGGTGATCAGGCGGCATGGCTTCAGGTGGAGGGCTGTGCATCTGCTGGCGGGTATAGGCAGCCTCCTTCTGAGGCAAAGGCGATTCGGCAAGCTTCAGCTGGCCCATATCATCGGCGACATGGTCTGCATGGAGCTCCGGGAGCATCGGAGCTTTGGAAGGTTGCGTAGTTCGACGGGCCTGCGTGGGCTTGCCGCCGCGAGCCTTGTTGATGTCTCGCCAGTCACGAAGTAGTATGTTCGCGGTCTCCATCGACATTCCACAGAAGTCAGGGACAAGGTGAGCGCAGTTTGCATGGCAGGTGATGCCACATTCCGTGCACTTGCGAGCATTCTTCCGGCCCAGCGGGAGCATATAACCACAGTGACAGCACCAGTTCGCACCGATGTTGGTAATAGGTTCGAAGCGATGTGGGATGCGGTGGTTGATCTTCTCCGCATCATCGTCCTGTAGGACAGTCTCAATATGGAATACGAAGAAAACATACGCATACACTCACTCCTGTATTTGATTTAGAAATACACTTCGTGACTACCTTTTCGTAACACTTCTTGTGGCAAGTGTATCGGCAGTCCTCACACTGATAACCGACAGCATTTAGCAAGAACTCGTTGCAGAAGGCACACAGGATGATCTGATAGAATTGCCGTTGGACAAACTTGTGTCCATTCATCTCATGAACCTCGTCCTTGCGCTTGCGAACAGCACCTTGACGGCCAAGCCCTCCAGGTGCATCGAGTGGGCGTTTTCGAACGTTCTCTTTCACTACGGTGCCAAATAAGGGATGACGCACCGACTCGGAACACAGGGAACTTACCAAAGTTCAGTTGTAACGCAATCGCACCTGCTGGCTCTACAGCGAACCAGGCGTCGATCCCCTCAGTTTGTCCCGTGGAAGGAGCAGAAGAAGAGGGCTGCACGACTCTGTTGTCGCTGAGTCCAATGGGCGCATTCATATCGCCAGTAGCACCTGGCTGTCCGTGCGCGCTTATGGTCGAACTATCGCCGCTCATGGCTCCTGCGGTGACCCAGCCACCTTGACCATTCTCCATCATGACCTTTTGCTTTCGTTGAGCATCAACGAGGTCACTGATTTTGATCCATAGCAGACCGATCGGAACAGGATGCAGTTCACCGACTGATTTGTCGTAGACGGTGATCTCAACCTCGTTCGTCTTCTCAATGATGATTTCGAAGTCTTCCATCCAGCGGTCGGTCCTTGTCGGATGAGAACGAGCGCGTTCTGTGCCTTCCACCTTGAACGACACATATGTTTCGATCTGTTTCGAGGCGGAACGAGATCGAGAGGCAGTGGGAGCATGTTCCAGCTCTCGCGCTCCTTTGAGTGTCACCAACAATTTACCGGAGAGATTCTTCGAACGTAAGTTGTTGTTCCGTTCGCCTTCTCCACCAGGACCAACCACGCCAGGCACTCCTGAGTTCGAGACGTGAAGACGCGTAATAACGATACATCGTGGATAACCTACCAGGATCATCGTCTTCTTCCGCATCATCGAGAATGTGCAAGGTCTTATAACGTTTGAGGGCGGTCTGCAAAAGTTGAATCTTTCTTTCGCTCTCAATCTTCTTAGCCTCCGCGTCAGCTCTTGATCTCCTGTCGCCGTCAGCTTGGAAGAGCTTTGCCATTTTGTCAATGCCCTTTTTCAACTGTATTTCCACCTGAAGCTTGAACTCGAGTTCATGAAGCATGCGCGAAATCTTAGCCGTCGTGTGAGGTGTGTCCGCTTTGATGAGATCCAGTTTCGTGTACGTCTTGGGCTTCGGGACACCATAGGCGTCATCGTTGGGAAGACTACCGGTGGACGCACGCATATCTGGAGACTGCGGGCTGTGCGCGCTACGTCGTGAACCATCCGGTGCTGGTGATTGAGGAACGCGATTGCTATCGGATTGGCGTCCAGCGCGTTGGGAATATGAGCCACCAGCCTGAGCAGGAGCCGGACTGCCTGATCTTGACGGATCATCCTGCTGTGCCTGCATCATCTTGCGAGACTGAAGCTGGCGGAGGGTATCCTCGAAATAGGAGAGTGACCGCTCAGCCTCCCTGATCTTCGCATCGGCTCCTCTGACGACGTCGGGATTGTTGGTAGCCTGGCGGAGCATCTGAGATGCCTCGAGGACCTTACGCTCGGTCTGAATGCGCCTGTAGACATCTTGGATCTTCTGGTCCAGCTCATGCGCCTTGGAGATATATGAGGACCACGATAGAGAGCAGAAACGTGTCGCCGCGCACCATGGCTGTCTACCACAATCTAAAGGCCCCACGGACGGCAGAGAGCTCGTTGCGACAAGTTCAGCAGCAAAAGGAGCGAACTGCAACTCGAGAGCAAGAGAGGCGGTGATGTGTGTGCATCTGCTTGTTCGCCGGCCGCAATTGCCCTTTATGCGTATCTAAGTCAGTTATATCTGTGTTAGGTCACTTATCTCGGCCGCGCCGCCCACTGTCTCTTCCTCCTCCGACGATGCCAACGTTCTGCAACTGTTCTGCCTTTCGCGAGTCTGCCGGGAATATCAGCATCGCGCTGAAGGCTCGCCATGTACTCGTTTCAGTTTCACCGTCCGCAAACATTCACACTGCACGGGGCCGAATACCGGAAAATGTAGACGTCACCGTAGGCTCGGACTTAGTGTTCACTCTGTCCGGTGCAGCAGGCTCCGCAAGGGTCTCAGGCGATGTCATACAACGGTCAGCTGTGGCAAGACACATAGTGAATTACTTCAAGCTGGTGTGTTCACGACACTATAGGGCATGATGCTCTTAAAGTTGGGTTTAAGTTAATATCGTACAGAATTCTCGCCAACTGGGCCTGAGCACCGTAACCGATGTCTATATCGACGACGACGACGGCCGCGCGAAATGTGAGTGATACAATGCAAATGGATATCTGCATTACTGGACAGCATTAGTCTCGATGACGTCTTCACGGCACCTACGAGTTGACAAACAAGCCAGCTCCGTTCAGCTGCTCGGCATCGATCTTCGGCTGGGGCTCAAAGCTGTTGCGCATGAGGACATGCGTAAGACATACTTCATACTGCATTTGGGCTATGATTACTCGAACTCGTTCGGCAGCCGCAATAGAAACCTTTTTCTCAGCACATGCCTACCTCCCGCTGGTATCTTTGCTTGACTGTGTCGTCGAAAAATTCGTAGTTCATCACCTGGTGAAGTGCGTCGTTACCTTCTGTGAAGTGCACGAATGTGCAATGCACTTACCAACGAACAGACGCTATCCGCTGATATTCGGGCCATGGCGATCGGTGGGTCGCTCCTATGTATGACATATAGTAAGCTTCAGTTAATCTATATATGCGCAGCAATTGGACTTGGAAGCAGCCTACATCCCATACGTGGTGCGTTCAATCACGGCAATCACAGAGCGATCAACGAATTCGGATTTTCATAAGACGTTCCGGCGCCACGTTAAGGTAATGCTGCTGATGCATCGCTGGTATTCATCTGACACTTCGCAGAAGCTGAGGAAGGCGTATGTGCTTTCCACAAGTGCAGCTGCAGACAGCTTGCGGGAATACCTCGGACCACTCGATGGAGAGGAAGACATGGATCCTGCAGACGAATCTGACTCCTCTGTCTTGTGTCATTCTCTAGAACGGCTTTTCAGACAGGGCATAAGACCGGCGCTTTTCAAAGTGAGTGCTCAGTACCAATGGCAGGCTTTGATGTATCCACATCAGATATCTCTAGGGCTCACAGGCTAGCTACATCGCCGAAAGGGGAGACGAGCAAGGCTTGCTGTCCAGCGCGGAGGGAAACGAGTCTATAGAGTCTGAGATTCTGTGCGAAAATGTGAACGACATATTGCAAACCCCGCAAGATTCAGATGACGCCCCCTGTGACCTAGAACTGGCAGAGGTTGAAATGCTCTTGGCTCTAGACAACGACGACTGGCCTTGGGATTCGATCCACTCTGGAAACGATCCCGACATGGACGCTCTGGACGATGACGGCGACTCTGATGATTTCCTGTACGAATTTCAGTCGACTTCTCCTCAGTGCTCGCAAGCCTCCGATCCCGATGAGACTCTCGACGTATGTATTGGACACCTTGCATTCCTCTCTTGCTATGTAGTGTTTGTATTGATTTCCACTTCAGACTCCGGATGGAAGTCAGATAAAAGTCGGAAACTCTTCCCTCATTGAGTCCCAAATGGCTCTGTCTCTCACAAGCTACGATGCTCTTACTGCGGTAGCTGACTGCCCGGAAATCGACATGCTTCTGGACACGTGCGATAACTGGCAGTCTCTGGATGTTGACGAGATCCTCAATTCGCCCATTCTGAGCTGTGAATTCAGCCTTGAAGACATCGATGCCAACGGGCGACTTTTTGAAGACGCGCTTCTGCCATTGAATGGATCTAGAACTGTTGGCTATCTCCCACGTCCGGTTGATATGTCAAAGTCTCAGCTTCTTGGGTCACAGCTTCTTGTTGATGATCGCGGCGCCGAAATCACTTCGAGTTCTCACCGGTCCGTACAATGCCATACCCCGGAAATGAAATCTGAGGACCAAGTTCCACCTCTCGGAGCCACGAGCCGTCTCGCCCTATCTCATGAAGAGTGCAGCGCCAACCGTGATAACGCGCCCTCGATCATACCTTCCTGCACTCACGCTCCCGGACATGCCGCTTGCTACTTCTGCACCGATGAGCCAACTCATGGCTTCAACGAGGCTGCCTTCGCTTCCAGACCGCATTCTCGGGCTGCTGCAGCCATGCTGTATGCAACTCGTCAGGAACCATTCAGTTGCGTAGAAACGAACATCTCGGATGAGGACGAGGGGATTCTAGATGTAGACTAAATGGCAAATGATCTCCTTGTCGCGGCGAACACGAGCTGAGAACAAGGTTGTTCGTCGGACTTAAATCGCAGTGGCCTAGATCCTCGGGGACTGGGACGGAGGCTGAGAGTCATCTGAACAAAAACGTGACATCGATCGCGGAAGCTGTGTGCGTACGTCATGAGTAACACGGCTCAAGTCCAAGTTCCGCCAGACTCCGCCTCCTTGCGGTGGCTGGAGACCATCGCCCAGCTTCGCTACGCCTCATTCACAACCTCCATCACTGCACGACCCGCTATCACTTCGAGGCTTCCGCACCCACTCTCCTCTCCTGCTCGATAGAGCCTTTGCGCTCTGCTCCCTTTCTCCTCTCCTTCGACTCTCCACTCAGCGCCATGTTGCCCGCTCAGCGGAACAAGGTTGACATCAGCGTTAGTATTGCGATATGTCCGGGCTAGACTTGATGTTGCACCGGACCAGCCCATAGCAGTTCGACTGACGACCCGCTGTCCGCAGAAACTCACAGAAGAGGAACAGAAGCTTTTCCGTCTGTATGGAAAGTTGCCTACGCACAAGAATGTCTTAATGAAGATGCAGAAAGTATGTGGCCATCATCGGTGCCGACGCATGCTGTTACAATGTCTTACGCATCGCTTGCACTCCAGGATCGCAAGTACTTTGACTCCGGCGACTACGCCCTCTCAAAGGCAGGTGTGGCCCCTCAAAACACCGTCGGGACCGCCATCCCCAATCCAGAGAAGTGAGTCTAAGCCGTACCGCATTCGGATCGATCTTGATTGAGGCCCTAGTCTTTCCTCAGCATTCCGCACGCGTCGACCTCTCCCGTCTCTCACCAGTCACTTTCCATCTCCCCCACAAACTCTAGCATGAGTCCAGGGAAAGAGAGCCCATTGGCCGAACAATCGGCTACGGCCGGAGACGACGAATCTGTTGAACATGTAGAGTCTGAGGAATCGTCCACCGCACCGGCAGAGTAGGAGAGATCCACCGGGGAAGACAGATAGTCGTGGTCGCTCATTGTCCATGGCTATCGCTTCTGGATGTGGACCGGGAAACGTGCTCGCTCTGTGCGCCGGTGTTGGGAGAACTGCTGGATTGGATTGGATTGTACGATTCTTTTGCGAAACCCTTCATCCCCTATGCGCCTTAGCTGGTCTCCCCCTCCGATCCTGTTGTAGCTTCCTTTCTGTACTTGTATTGGTTCAGCGTATGTGCCTTTGCCTCATCGCTTGCAACCTGTGGTTCATGAAATGCAACGAATCGTCATGAAACGGATGTGACGTGTGACGAATCGCGTGACGCGACGCGCTCGATCAGACGCATCTTCAAAGCGCGACTGTCTCTGTCCTCTGTTGCTGCATTTCGCCTTCACCATACTAAACTCGACGAGCACTATGGCCTCCACGGACGCATTCGTTCTGCAGCAGGAAATTCTCGAAAAGTTTGGGACCGTGTTGGATGAGAAGCTTGCGCCAGAATGTGCGTGGTGTGGCAAAGAGGTTCCGACGCGCTCTTTGACGTGCATACAACCTCTAGGTGTGAGGCTTTGCCAAATGTTCAACCTGAGCGCGGAGGACCTCTTGTATAAATGGGAGGTCCTGGTTCTCGGTGCAGCACGTGTATTCCCCCCGGACATGATACCGGCTCTCAAGGCCAAATGTCAGAGCGATATCGCGAAAGCAAATACAGCTCGACAGAAGCTGAAATCTGGCTTCAACGGATCCTTTGGAAGAACTCGTGGTGCTTTTGGCAGATTAAACACTCGGCTGAACGGGCAGACGGTTCAGGGCACGCCGACGAAACCGAACGTACAACGACAGGATGGGCTCGGCGTGGCCTTGGGTGAGGATATGAAGGTGCCTGTTGCCGGACCTAGCAAGGTCAAATTCATTGGGCCAACTATAGATGAGGATTTACGAAAGAGGCGTGCATGTGAGTTCTCTGTCTTCTCATCGCGTGATGGGAAGGCTCAGCTCTTGAGCTAGACCGCTACATGTATGAGAAGGTGTATGAACGCAGCACAGGTGATTGTTCACCTTCACTGTCCGGGATGCTGCCCTGAAACATCGTGTAAAGCTCTTGACAGACGTATCGATGAGTTCGGCGAACTTGTCATGGAGCATTATCATATCGAGGAGCTCGGCGACCCGACCGCTGCTACAGAAGTGCGTGCAGTCATTCTTCTGGTTGATATTTTCTCATTCTCGCATACTATGTGTACAGGAGGAGGTTACTATCGTAGGACGCATAACACTAGACTCTGAGACATCCGCAGGCCCTGTCAAACTCAACGAGGCTGCTCTTACTTTGGAGTCATCTCGTATGATGGGTTCAGGAGCAAGAGTGCCACTGCGTTTCGATCCAAATGTCAAAGTCCGTCAAGGCAAACAGGGAGTCGGCGGCATTGGCCTGTTTCCAGGGGCGATCGTTGCTCTGAGAGGCAAGAACGGCGGCGGAGGATGGTTTTCTGTCACTGAGATACTCGCGGTGAGCTACGAAGCGTTACGTCTCATAGCGTATAGGTCTCATTCGCATTATAGCTACCTCCGTTGAAAGCTTGTCGAGATGCTGCAGCGCCGCCACACCCTGGTTCATCGTTCAGCATGGTAGTTGCATGCGGCCCGTTCACCCCGGATACGGACTTCCAATACAAGAACTGGCATAGGCTTTTGGCGAAGATCAAGGCGGAGAAGCCGAACGTTATGCTTCTCGTGAGCAGTGTGGACGGTTTTTTTTCAGCACGCTGACTGTTCTTGTTTTTTTTTTAGTTAGGTCCCTTTATAGATGCTGCTCATCCTTTCATCAAGGAAGGCGAGATAGATGTCTCCCCATATGATATCTTCAGGGAGATTGTCGTCGCAAACTTGATGGACTTTTTAGCGTCATCTCCGGGCAGCTTGATTCTGATCGTGTCCAGCGTGCGGGACATCATCAGTGACCATGCGGTATTCCCGCAGTGTGAAATGGACGCGGAGTTCTCGAGCGATCCGGTATGACGTCGCGTTCAGTTAACTTGCGCAGAGTCTGATGATAGTATAGAGAATTCGTTTTCTGCCCAATCCCTGCAGGTTCTCGCTGAACAATGTCACGTTCGGGGTCAGTAGTGTTGATGTCCTTTTCCATCTAAGGAAGGAAGAGTTCTTCAAGCGAGCAGAGGAGATAGAATCAGTTATACCTGAAGCAGGAGACGTGCAGCCGAACGATGCGATGTCGAATGCATGTCGGCATTTACTGCAGCAACGCAGGTATGCTAGGCACTTTTCTAGAGGTTGTGTAAATTCACAAGACGCTACAGTTTCTACCCACTATTCCCGGTTCCGCTTGAGCTGGCACATGAGGTCAATCTCGACGTGACACATCTCAAAGGGCTGGACCTCTGTGCTGGCGAGGGTGTGGAGAAGGACAAGGCTCCGGAGGTGCTCATAACGCCCAGTAGGCTGAAGCACTTTTCAAAGGTGAATCAAACTCGACCATTGCTGGAACAATGACTGACCACGCTGTTTTCTTAGCATGTTGATTCTACGGTTGTTGTCAACCCTTCGTTCTTGACGAAGGGTACATTTGCGAAGTTGACTTGCGACGGGACTGTGGTTACCGAGATTTTGCGACTAGAGTAACTTGAGCGTGTTGGGTAGAATTTGATGTATACCTTAGCACTGTCACTACGATCTCGACTACTAGACTTACCATAGCAGGACATGCACCCGAACACGCCACGTGCTCGATCGTCTTCCCGAAATGACGAAATGCCTGGGCAAGTCCATTCATCGTTCAACTTGACAACATCCTTCTGTCGTCTGCACTCACGCCGTCTGTCATGGGTCTTGAAGAAGCAAAGCGGTCCAAGCACAAACATGACCGCGAACACAAGAGCAAGCGTAAGCACAGGCCCGACGCGGAGGGCAGCAGCAAGCGCACCCGCAAGGAAGACAATGGTCACATTCACATAGTGGATGACGATACAAAGGACGATGATATGTGGATGGAGAAGAACATTGATATGGACGGGGAGGAGGTGCGTGGTGAATCCGATACCCATGGTTCGCTCGCCAATTCTGTCCTGCCAGCTGCTCGCGACCAACATTCCGACTGCAGAGAGCCTCAAGCTTACTTCAAGAGCGTCCGTGGAGCCTACGGATCCTCCGCTTCCGCCGACGTTTAAAACGGAGACCGTACTGAAACGGGATGACTGGATGATGCCCCCGTCGACACCCACTATTCCGGAAGTCGAGTCTCGGCTCGAGCCTACAGGCGAGGAGTCATTGACTCAGGGCTATGGGGAGCATTCGCGGAACGCGCGTACCGCGAGCGGCTCTGTGGACTTCTTTTCCAGTCTCGGAACTGAGAGAAAGAAGAAACCGCAGCCGGACCGTCCTGACCTGGACAAGGTACGGGCAATCATTACGTTCTGTACATTCAGTTGACATATTACTCGTAGCCACATATCAGCCACAAGGAGCTAAACATAGCACTGAAGGAAGGCAAGAGCTTGGAGGACGTTCCTGCTGCAACTCCAAAGTCGATTACACCCGGCGGTCCTGGCTCACAATGGCGCATGATGAAGCTGAGGCGCGTATATGAACAGGCCGAAGAGGAAGGGAAACTGATCGAGGAGGTCGCACTCGATCGCTTCGAGTCTCTGGAAGCATTTCGGGAAGCTCAGGAAGAGCGACACATTCTCGACGAGCGGGAAGGAAGACGCACAAGCAGGGGCAGAGATCGTACCATGAAGGGAAAAGAGCCTGAAAGCGGGAAACGGGTCATGTTCACCGATATCAGTGGCAGCCTGATGTCGAGCCGCAGTTCTTCCTTCCGTCGACCTGAACTGGGCGGTAACGCGCCATCTACTCCGACTCCAGAGTCTCGCGCGACGAACCGCCAGTATGATTCCCTCCAGCTGTCATCAGCATCACGAGGCGGAACCCCTGGTAGCGCTGCCCAGTCTCATACCCCGATCCCGTCTGTGATGACTCCTTCGGTGTCCATGATAAATGCCAAGGCTCGCGCGCTCTCTCCGTCTTCTCTCAACAAACTTCAGGCCAAGGTTTTGCGTGCGAAGCTGATGGGTGATCCTGACGCGGAGAAGTTGGAGAAGGAGTATGAGGAGGAAGCTCGCAAGGCACACGGAGATGAGAACCAGGAAGGCGTGAGGACAAAGGTGGAAGTGCTGCCGACGTTGGATGCTCGCGGCCGCCTATACGACGTGGGGCACGGAAAGAACGATGGCCCCTTGCCACCGGGCAACCGCAGGAAGAAAGAGCATGTGAGTATTGTCCCTTCATCCAGAATACTGTTTTCCTGACCGCCGTTCAGTTCGAGACTCGCGACAGCACCGGTGAAGTTATACGTTACAATCCAGACGACGACACGACGACGCTGGGTGAGATGCTCCGCGAGGAGCTGATGGGTGCTGGTCCAGCGGACCAGAAGAACCTAGATGCCGAGTTCGCGCGGCAGGTCATGACGGACGGTAAATTCGTGGTATGTATTTTCTTCAGCTACTGCCAATTGCAATTAACGACGTTGTACTGTGTAGAATGACCTTGACTATATGGATGACAACGCTGAGAAGTTGGCCAGGAAGAAGATGAGGTCGGATGCGATGAAGCGACAGTTCGCTATCAATGGTGTGGTTGTTTCTCTTTCCTCTCGTTTCAGTCCACAGTTTCACGGGCCTCATCAGATTACAAGCGGACGCAGAAAGTCCTGGCTACATGTCTCTTCTGCTTCGGCGAGGACGACTCGTTACCGAAAGCGCCAATCATCGCTATGGGCACCCGCGTGTACCTTTCATGCACCTTGACGGAGGAGCTGGTAGAGGGACACTGTTTGATCGTTCCAATACAGCATCATTTGGATATGTTGGAAGGTGACGACGATGTGTGGGATGAAGTCCGGGTATGTACAACGATTGCATGGTAGCGGAAGCACGCTCATACACTTTCTTACGTTTCAGAACTTCATGAAGTGCCTCATGCGAATGTTTGCAGAGGAAGACAAGGGGGTCGTGTTCTATGAGACAGTCCTGTCGCTCAGGTCGCAAAAGCACACGTTCATAGAGTGTGTGCCATTGCCATGGTCCCAGTTCGAAGATATCCCTGGCTACTTCAAGGTGTGGCAGCTTCATTTGAGCGACCTGTTTTTGATCTGACTCGCGACATCTGCTTTGTAAGGAATCCATCCTCATGTCGGAGACGGAGTGGTCACAACACAAGAAGCTTATCGACTTCTCTGCACGACCGGGTGGCTTCCGGCGCGCGATGGTGCCGAACCTGCCTTACTTCATGGTTCAATTTGACTACAAGGGAGAGAAGGGTTACGGGCACGTCATCGAGGGCACAAGCGAAGCCGCCGGCAATGGAGACGATCCAGAAGGCGACATCGACGAGGGGGAGAAGGGAGGAGGCGAATTCCCGAGGTATGTCGTGCATTGGTCGAACGGCGACTCGACTCATATTTTTCTGTGTAGGTACTTTGCAGCGGAGATCATTGGGAATTTGTTGGACTTGGAGCCTCGCCGATGGCGTCGCCCGAGGCGTATCGACTTTTACCAAAACAAGGAGCGTGTGGCGAAGTTCAAGAGAAATTATGACAAGTATGATTGGACTGGGATGATAGAACGATCATGATGTACTATGCGAGTGCTTGTATTATCCTAGGGCTGTAATTGAGGCAGCCTGTGTTATATACTACGACCACCGACAGTGGCGGCCACAGAACGTTTATGATAGCACAGAGCGCTCGATCATGAAATTGACGATCACCCTCCCATGAGCTGCATTTGTATGATCGTCTCTCTATCTAAGGCCTTCGGATGATGATATCTCTCAACGTGCTGAAGTCCGCTCATGCTCGCTTCTCCAGTGTTCTGTGGTCAGGATGCAGGGCCGCAAGAAAGTTCGCGATCCTCGCAGATGATACAGGGGCCCAGCCGCTCAACAGGTCCTACCTGTACGGTTAGTTCTGCTACGACCGTGCGACATCCTAATCACCTATGATGAAACACCAGTGCCCGCGTCGAATGACCGCATGTTGGAGAAATCACTCTCGACGGAGTCCGATGTGATCATTTACGACTTGGAAGACAGCGTGCCTCCCTCTGCGTCGGACAAGAACGCTGCTCGCGAGAGGCTGCAGAGATTTCTCCATGTAAGCATGGGCTTGCATTCGCTGTGTTCGCCCAGTGGCCTCATGCCATGCGGTCGTATAGACGAAATTAGAGGCAGAACTGCCCCGTCCAGAGCGAATCGCTGTCAGGCTTAACTCGATCAACACACCATTCTTCGGGAGTGACATTGCGCAAGCTGTAAGTATTCTGTTGGCCTTGGATCATGTTCATTGAGGATAGAGCATCCTCGGGACGCAGTTGCGGATCCCATCCATCCGAACGTTCATCTTGCCGAAAGTAAACTCAGCGCAGGACCTCCATCATGTATCTCGAGAGATCTACAACGCTACCCAACTGCAGAGTGTCCGAGACCCACGACTGCAGCCTCTGCGGCTGGTCGCCAGCATCGAGAGCGCGCGGTCAATGGTGAATCTGAAAGACATTGCTGGCTGGCAGTGTGAGTACGGGCCCTCCTTAGGAGTGACCTTGTCAGCGCTTCTGGTATGTTTCCCGCCAGATTCTACTTCATCTCTTCCTGAGTTCTTTGCTGCAGTTTGCCGCGGAAGATTGTGGGTGGTTCCCGACATCCCGAGCGCCGACTGACCAGGCCTCTCAGATTGTGCCGACAGCGGCATCATACGCACGAAGTCTCGGACAGAGCTTCTCTTCACGCGTTCTCAGATCGCGATCACTGCGAAGGCGTTTGGCTTAGACGCCATTGACATGGTAAAACTCTGATCCAACACCTGAATGTGGTGGTCTCATCCTTGCACAAAGGTCTGTGTTAACTACAGGGACCTCGACTACCTGAAAGAGGAATGCGAGGATGGTAGAAGGCTGGGGTACAATGGCAAAGTCAGTCATGCGCCATTCCTACGCGATGCCGTCTGAACCCAATTCCTACCTTTTCAGCAAGCCATTCATCCAACGCAAGTCGCTATAATCCAGTCGACATTCGTACCTACTGAGAAAGGTTGGAAGCCCATATCACCAAGTTATCGTAGTTCGCTGAAGGCCCAACGTGACAGAGATCCTACGCGCCGCGAAGATATTGCATCGCATGCAAAAGGCACACTCTGAAGCACAAAGGGGTGCAATCGGGCTTGAGCTCGAAGGAGGTGGCAAAGAAATGATCGATGCCCCGATGATCAAGCAGGTATGAATGCGAATTTGGCAGCGCGCATGCTCTTACAGTATGATCTGTAGGCGGAGAACACCATTCGTATCGCAAACGCTGCAGGCCTTACTGGTATTATTCCACAGTTTGATTGACAGCATTGTTTCAGACCGTTGTAAGATACTTATTACTCGAGAAGAACTATGTCGCCGACAGCTTGTGCTGTATTGAGCGTGGAACGCCACTACCATGATACAACGGAATGCAAGTTACAGTTATGGTACAGGGAGACAACGATAGTACAGACCCACTCTTCGGCTCATCTCAATTGAGGTCAAGCTTTCCAAGCGTCATCCCAGCCAAGCGCGCTCCGGTCCCAGTTTCCCGCCTTTTGCCCATGTGTGACCCAGCCCAGCGTGTCCATCACAATACCTGTTGCCCTGACGAAGATTGTCCCGTCTACCTTCGCCATACCCTTGTGCGTTTCGTGTCCCTCCGCGTCAAAAGCCCCAATCGCGCCTCCGGCAGGTGTACGTCCATACTCCTGCGCAGCATAATACAACGCGCGTATCGCTTTAAGTGTATGCGCGTCCGGCGCGTACAAGACAGAGGAGATGATGGCTGGCCACGGGTTGACGTATGCTGGGTTGTGGGGATCACCGATTACAGTGGCGTCGGGCATCGGTCCAACACCCCGCCGCAAAGGAGGGCGGGGCGTGGCCGTGTAAGACATCAGCAGTTCTGGGTTGATCCTCGGACGTCCGCGTATGGTGAGATACATCAGCAAGACTGGCACGAGCGCGCGTAGCAGCGACGCCTTGCTCTCCATCGTCGGGATAGCCTTCAAAAGCGAAGGCACAAACAAGGACGCGTTGAGAACGTGCATCAGGAAGAAGTCCAGACGTGCTTCACGCCCGGGCTTTCCGGTGCCAGCGAATAGGAGCGTGGTCGTCCAAAGGAGCTCTTCGACCTTCTCGTCGAGCTCTTGCTGCCCCCGGCTGGTGTCGACCTGCCACTGAGCGGCAAGCCGACGGATCTCCTCTGGTCTTCCTGGACTTTCCAAGGCGTTCTTGATGCGCATGCTTAGGAGCGCGTCTGGGTCGTATGGCATCACCGGCATCATCGCGGGGGAGACGTATGCCTCTCGCAAGATAGCGAGTAGCGAGCGGCCGCGTGAAGGTTGGCGGTGAGCAATGCTTGCTGTGGCTGAATCATGAGGAACTTGTTGCTGCTTTGAAGGAGAGAGGTCAAATATCTCAGGAACAAAAGGTGAATGAACAGCTGTTTGGGCGAGGGCTGCGCGGTGTCGTTAGTCAGTATCAGTGCAGCAGTGAGAGGTTTGCACCTTGGGCGACCATGGCATCGCTGCCGAATTCAACGCCATACTAAGGATAGGTTAGTTGCGCACATCGTCATGTAGGCGAGCTACTGACTCCTGTCTGAATGAGCGGATGAACACTGCACATCACGCCGGAGTAAGCACCCTTCGCGTGCGTTGTAAGCAGCTCTTAGACTCAAGTACTCACGCGCCGCCCACGAGTCTCAGTAACATGAGGACACCGTCTCCATTGGCAGAGGGCGAGAACACGTATTTCTCGAGTACTTCGCCAGCGCCCTGGCTGGCGATCTCGGAAGTGAAGAATACCAGGAAGTTTGCATAGTACCTAGAGGATACGTCATGAGCTTTCTAAAGCTGAGGGAGTCTCTGGAGACACACTTCTCTTGCCCCAGATATTCTGTCCAATTATGAGACGTCAAGGTGATATGCTGCTCCTCTACGAAGCCTTCTTTCCTATTTGCCAAATGGAGTGGGGACAGTGATCCTTTCTCTGCATCACAGATTGCCTCGAGAAGCTTTGGAGGAGCTCCGAGATCATATGCAGCTAACAGGCTGAGGCACTTGCATTTGAGCGAAACAGCCTGAGAAACTAATCATGCTGCTTACTGGTGGCTTAGATGGTTGTGAAAACCGATTTTGCCGAAAAAGCAGTGGTGCGTCTTCCTGTCTTTTTCCAGGAGACGTTCGGCCGCCGCTTTCGACTCTGCAGTAGAACCTGGCACGTTCAATATGCCCTGATGGATGGTAGGAGCCAATGTGGATGCCATTTGCACTCGGAGAGAAGACGTTATGGCACTCAGTCGCAAGTGCGGACGAAGACAGGACATAAACGAAAGCGAGACAGCGCACAAGTCAACGTCGAATCCTATATAACCCCTCCCCCCTGACATGTGGGGTGTCTTTATAATGGACGTACAGCTGGATCCGTCACAAGATATGTCATGGGGCAAGTACCCACCAATGCTAGAGTTTATCAGACCTCCCCCCCTCTCAACGCTGGCCCCCCCGGATTGATCGGATGAGAGTACGCAGTGAAACGCGACTCTCGCGTGGACCAACGCGGATTGTCGTCCTCTTGTATCAGGCGGCCACAAACAATTGCGGCGGTGTTGTGCAAAGCTGCTCAGAACGTAAATAGTCCGTGCATCGAGCTTTCATAGCAGGGACAGAAGGTTTTGAACAGTGAAAGAATGGATTTGTCGGAGGGATTCCGAAGAATTCAGCTGGCACTCACTGCTCTGCGTTCTTGCTTAGTCATAGGCTGCTCTCACGGCATCAAGGACGTGATCGAAGCTCCTGCCAGTTGCCGCAATACTTACCATCTCGCATTGCACTTCTCTTGCCGTCGTTCTCCTCTTGCCGTCGTTCTCGAACTACGCAGCCCGTTTGCCATCACTCTGCAGGCTGCTCGTCTGTTGCTTCAATCTGGCCTCCAGCGATACGCTCAATTACGGCAACTCACTCTAACTTCGTCCATGTCCTCCGATCTTGAACGTTACATCAGCGATAACTCTCTTCGAGTGCGCATACATTCCAATGTTTCCTTCATTGTCGTGGCTGACGCGTTATACCTAGTTCTTTGATGTATCTGACCGTAGCATCATCGACTATGTCGTAGCGTCAGGTAAGCCTCTCCGTGCTCTCCTCAGAAGCGCAATATTAATGGCGCGAATAGCATCTTCCTCGAAATCTCCGGAAGCTCTCTTCACCGCACTCAATGCTTCCGGTTTACCAGACACGTCAGATGCACATCAATTTGTTCAGGAGGTCTATGCTCGCGCTCCCCGGAAGAGCAAGCACAAGAAGTCCTCCGATACGTCACGAAAACAAGCTGAAGAACAGGCCAAGCTCCTTCGTTCGCAAAAATTCGACTTTTTGCTGGAGGATGAGGCGGAACAGAGCGGCGGCGGTGGTCTGAAGGGCGACAAGGTGAGGGTATCCGGTCGCAGCAGTGCAAAGGACAAGCGGGAGAGACATACGCGGAAACGAGAAAGCGATGCGAGGGAATGGGAGAGCGATGAGGAGGAGAAGGCTCGGAAGAGGTCTCGCACGGATGAGGGAGACGAGCATGAGCGTCGAGAGTATGATGAAGACATGAATGTCGAGCTACCTGAAGATGAGGAAGCACGGAGGGAACGTCAGCGACGGGAGGACCTGAAGGAGAGAGACGAGTTGGCGGAACGGATAAAACAGCGAAATCGAGAGAGGACCAAACGAGTAGTCGAGGACAAGTCTTCAAAAGCTGTCGGTGCTGCTGCTGAAGCAGCAGAACGTCGACGGTTGGCGGAGGACACGGAGGCTCGAGAACGTGCCATGCCGAATCTCCGCGAGCACTCTCGACAAGAGTATCTCACAAAACGTGAGATGCAGCGGATCGAGCTGTTGCGGCGGGAGATTGCAGATGATGAAGCTTTGTTCGCGGGCATGAAGATTTCGAAACGAGAACAGCGGGACCTCGAACACAAGAAAGAGCTTCTGCGACTCGTCGAGGAGCGGCTCAAGATCGACACCAAATGGGAAGGATACCAGTTGCCTGAAGACTACATCACAGAACAGGGCAAGATTGACAAGAAAAAGAAGGAAGGCGTGTTGTATCAGCGGTATGAGGAAGCAAAGCCAAAGGACGATCAGTTCACCACCGATGTTGATCAGTGGGAGGCAGCACAGACCAGACACAGCACTTTCAAGATGGGTGCGATGGACAAGAAGGAGATCGTCGAGGACTATGAATATGTATTCGACGAGAGCCAGACCATCAAGTTCGTCTTAGAGAGTACCATGGGCGGCGAGGGCAACATGAGCGCAAAGGACAAATTACTGCAGCAGCAGATTGAGGCAGCGGAGCAACGAGGTAAGCAAACTGCCTACTGCTATCATGACTTTTGTTGATTCGCTATGCAGCCCAGTCAATAGAAGAAACTCGTAAATCGCTGCCGATACATACGTACCGCGAGGAACTGTTGGAAGCCATCAAGGCTCACCAAGTGCTCATCGTCGTAGCAGAGACGGGCTCTGGAAAGACGACACAGCTGCCGCAATACCTGCACGAGGCAGGGTACACCGCGAACGGCATGAAGATCGGGTGTACGCAACCGCGGCGCGTCGCAGCCATGTCCGTCGCCGCGCGTGTGGCAGAGGAGATGGGGACGAAGGTAGGGTACGAGGTCGGGTACTCGATCCGGTTTGAGGACTGCACGAGCGACAAGACGGTGCTCAAGTACATGACAGATGGCATGCTGCTACGCGAGTTCCTGACGGAGCCTGACCTCGCGGGGTACTCGGCACTGATCATCGACGAGGCGCACGAGAGGACGCTCAGTACGGACATTTTGTTTGCTCTTGTGAAGGTGCGTCGGTGCCATCTCACGTCTTTGGTTGTAGGCTCAATGGCTTGGTTCGCTGAAGGATATCGCGCGGTTCCGTCCGGAGTTGAGGCTGCTTATCTCCAGTGCTACTATGGATGCAGCGAAGTTCAGCGATTACTTCGACGACGCTCCTGTTTTCTATGGTAGGTGCTGTTTTTGCGTTGCTCTCGTTCGCTTCTGACTATCATTGGCAGTGCCTGGTCGACGATATCCTGTCGATATCCACTACACTCCTCAGCCTGAGGCGAATTATCTACATGCCGCTATCACCACGGTGTTCCAGATCCATACCACTCAGCCAAAGGGTGACATCCTGGTGTTCTTCACAGTACGCGTATACTTTGGTTATATTCCGTACTCCGACTTACCATGATTTCCAGGGTCAAGATGAAATCGAGGCTGCGCAAGAGAATCTGCAGGAGACTGCGCGGGCATTAGGCAATAAGATTGCAGAGCTCATCGTCTGTCCAATCTATGCAAACCTGCCCAGTGACATGCAGGCAAAGATATTCGAGCCTACGCCTGAAGGCGCACGTAAAGTTGTGCTTGCAACCAATATCGCGGAGACGTCCATTACGATTGAAGGTGTCGTGTTCGTCATCGATCCCGGCTTTGTGAAGCAGAACTCGTATAATCCGCGCACAGGCATGTCTTCCTTAGTGGTTGTGCCGGTAAGCATCATTTCCCGCGTGGCATTTACGCTGTGTTCTTATGTTTTATTCTCCAGTGCTCTCGGGCGTCTGCAAATCAGCGGGCAGGTCGTGCCGGCCGTGTTGGACCTGGCAAGGCTTTCCGTCTCTATACCAAGTGGGCGTACGCGAACGAGTTGGAGGAGAATACCGTTCCCGAGATTCAGCGTACGAACCTGGGGATGGTGGTGCTGCTGCTCAAGTCGCTCGGTATTAACGACCTGATCGGTTTCGAGTTCATGGATCCACCGCCTGGTGAGACTCTTATGCGTGCATTGGAGTTGCTCTATGCGTTGGGGGCTCTTAATGATCGTGGTGAGCTCACGAAGCTTGGCCGACGCATGGCGGAGTTCCCAGTGGACCCGATGCTATCCAAGGTCATTATCGCTAGCGAGGATTACCATTGCACAGACGAGGTCAGTATATATTATTTTTGCTGAGGGTGCAATGGGCTAACGTGGTGGGGTGTCATAGGTGCTCACCATCATCTCGATGCTGCAAGAGTCGTCATCGCTCTTCTACCGACCGAAGGACAAGAAGCTGCATGCAGATCAGGCACGGCAAAACTTCGTCCGGGCCGGTGGCGATCACTTCACGTTGCTCAACGTCTGGGAGCAGTGGGCCGAGACGAACTATTCGCAGCAGTTCTGCTACGAACAGTTCCTGCAGTTCAAGAGTCTCAGTCGTGCGCGCGATATTCGAGACCAGCTGGCGGGCTTGTGCGAGCGTGTGGAAGTTGTTGTGGAGAGTAACCCGAACACGAGCGATATTACGCCGATCCAGAAGGCTATCACTGCTGGATATTTCTACAATACGGTGAGTACATATAGTGTTTTCATCTGAGAGCAGTAATTGACACTTTCTTAGGCGCAGTTGCAGAAGAGCGGCGACTCGTACCGTACGCTCAAGACCAGTCAAACGGTGTATATACATCCGTCGTCAAGTCTTTTCCACATCACGCCGCCCGCTAAGACTGTCCTGTACTATGAATTGGTGATGACTTCGAAGTCATATCTACGGTGAGTCTGGCGCATTCAATCGTGACCGATCTCGTTCTAATTGGCTCATACAGGCAAGTCATGGAGATCAAGCCACAGTGGCTGCTGGAAGGTCCGTGCAGGCGTTTCAGCCCATATTTCAGGATTACTGACAAGTGAATGTGACAGTTGCACCACATTATTTCAAACAGGCTGACTTGGAACAGCTGGCCACTGGAGACAAGAAGATGCCAAAGGCCGTGGGGAGCGCGGGTGAGAGATCAAGAATGTAAGATCGTGGACATCGGCTTGATGTACTTCATATTGCTTTACGTTACGTTACGCTTTCTACTCTCGATTGCACCGCCGCCATCTGAGATTGAATAGAACGAGCGCTTGAGTAGCGTTTACACCCAAACGCGATCACGTGATAGCCTCATTGTCCTGTTGAGTTTGAAGTTGACTTCCTTTCTGCGTCTTCTCCGCGGCGGTCTCGCTTCAAACTGTATCATTAGCCATGCTTGCCTCTCCTTCACGCGCTGAGCTATCCCCGACACCTCCGCATACGACGACCGTTGAAGCCGATGCTCCTGCGTCTCCTGCAGTGTCTCCTGCACTGTCCGATCCCCTGACCGACCTTTCAATCTACGATGTTTCATTCTCATACGAAATGGATGAGGACGGTAATTATAAGCGGATATCCAAGGGTTCTCCCAAGACCTCCGCACAGGATTCGCCTCCCACTCCGGAAGAGTTTCCCAAAGTGGGAGGTAGCAGGCGTTCCTCATCCAATTCACATTCAGATTCGTTGCCACCCGCTCTATCTGAGAGCCTGTTGAGCTCGTCCGAACGCGCTCCCGCCCCTGTACCACGCTCTTTCCGAAGAATTGCTTCTGGGCCACTTCTAACGCCAGCCGCGTCGTCTTCTACTCGGTCAAGCCTTGTACATCCGTCTACCGGTGGTGGCACTGCACGAAGATTAGGCGGAGCACGCCGCGTCAAACGAGAAGAACGCGAAGAGGCGGAGGCTCTCCTCCGATCCCAACCTCAAGCCGTCGAGGAAAAGGGAAACGACGGCAACAATGCGCAAGGATCATCACTGCGCTCCTCCATTCCCTTCCGTTCTGCGCGCTCGTCGAACAGGAAGGGCGGCATCGAGAAGGTCGTAGAAGAACCGAACGCTGAGGAGAACGATGCACTGGATCCGTGGCTGCAGCAGCACAAACGTCCTGCCAGGCCACGTCGCTCTATGAGCTTCGGCGGGTCCGGGGAAGTTGGGGCGGAGCCAGAAGTGTCTGCTTTATCCTATTTGCAGCTTCAACAAGCCTATCTGCGGCCAGGAACATCTATGGGGATGCTTGGACGCGGAGCGCGACGTATGACTGCTGAGGAGAAGACACGGAAGGAGCGCGAAATTGCGCTAGAGGAAGGTATGTAGCTTGTATTGTGACGACATCCTGCGAGATATATTTAAACGTTTGCAGGGTATGCACGTCGCGAAGCAGAGCAAGCTGTGGAGGCCGAACGTATGTAAGCATTACAACGTCTCGCGCTGCCGCTGACAATGTGTACCGTTGATAACAGACAGGTCGCATGCAGCGGCGCAGCGCGTGCCTTCGCCGCCAGGCACGTCGAATGGCCGTACTTCCGGTCGAAAGAATTCGGAGACGCTGGGTTCTGGTACAGATTCCTCGCCCACCGCAGTTGATGGGGCGCCGCGAAGGTCACTACCAAAGCATACATATGCAGCAACCAATGATCCTCCACTTTCCTCGTTAGACGTAAATCCACGTCGTCGGCGTGCGCCCACTACATCTGACGTGCTCGCCACGAGCGTGACAGCCACAGCTGTGGAACCGGAGGCACCTTTAGCTGGTCAATTATGGGCTAATGGTGACAGGGGAGAATGGGATCAAGACGTGGCATATGGGTCGAGGTCACAGCCGGCTAGCGTGTCTGCGAACTTCCCTTCATCTCAGCACGCACAGCCAGCCCAGATATCTGCAGCAATATCAGCGCAGAGCGTTACGCCTGGTCCTGACGCGCGATCGCGTACTATTATCGTATGTCATGCAATTGGCTTGGTGCGTACATAAAGTGACGCGGTCTTGGCGTACAGGTCAATAAGAGGTCATATACCCGCCTTGATTTGATAGGCAAGGGCGGGTCGTCTCGCGTATATCGCGTAATGAGTCCGACAAGCGAGATCTTCGCGATTAAGCGGGTTGCACTTGACAAGACGGACGGAGAAACAATGAAAAGCTATATGAACGAAATATCACTGCTGCGGCGCCTCTCGGGCAACAATCGCATCATTAGGCTCATTGATAGCGAAGTCAAGCCTGGACTTCATGGGTCGAGGGGCCATTTGTTGCTGGTGATGGAGTGTGGTGAGATCGGTGAGTGTTCATGGTATTCGCGAAAGAATCTAGCAAATACACACGTCACTTCCCAGATCTGGCGAGGCTATTGCAGGAGCAGCAAAAATACCCTCTGGATCCAGTGTGGATAGCATGTTATTGGAAACAAGTCAGTGAGAACAGCTGTTTCAAGGTGCCCTCAACGCTCACCATATCCATGAATATCAGATGTTGCAAGCCGTCCATATTATTCATGAAGAGAGGGTCGTTCACTCAGATCTCAAGCCTGCTAACTTTGTGCTCGTCCGCGGTCAGTTAAAGCTCATCGACTTCGGTATTGCGAATGCCATCGCGAACGACACCACAAACATTCATCGCGACTGTCAGGTACGGATCGTCTAACAGCCGTTGCATGTCCGGGTGGTTACTGAGGTCGACGCAGATCGGGACCGTCAACTATATGTCGCCCGAAGCCATCGAAACTCCAAATGGGAACCACAAACTCAAAGTCGGCCGACCCAGCGACGTATGGTCTCTGGGCTGCATCTTGTACCAGATGGTGTACGGAAAGCCACCATTCTATCATTTGTCGATGGTCCACAAGATGCAAGCTATACCCGATGCCTCGCGTCCCATTGTATTTCCCAGAAGCGTGTCCTCACTTGATCCGACTGATCCGGAAAAACCCATAGCAGTGCTCGTACCGAAAGCTGTCATTGAGGACATGCAGAGTTGTCTTAAGCGGGATCCGAAAAGCCGCATGACGATTCCGCAGTTGTTGAGGCAGGGATGGCTGACGATGCAGGACGGTAAGCGACTCTCAAGCTATCGGGAACGTGCGTCGGACTGATGAAAGGGATTCAACCAGCTCCACCGCCTCCTCCTCCGCCACCTCCGCCGCCTCCTCCACCGGCAGACATATCCTCTCCATTGATGAACGATGATGAGGCAATCATCAACCCGTATTATATAGAACAACTCATGCGGTACTCCATGTCTCTTGACCGAAAGGGTGCACACATGAGCGACGAGTGGTTTGCCGAGGAGGCACAGGTGCGTGCGCTGATCCCGTTTGGCGTCTACATGTGTTGCTGATCTTGATGATCTCATCGTTGTCAGCGATTGGTTCAAGAGCTCCGAAGCGTTAGGCGTTGAGTGATTGCGAGGCTGCCATCGTCTGTGCGCCGCATGAGTGTCAGTCAAGTTTACTTGGCTTCGGTCTTGCATGTGTGCGGTGTGATATGGTGTCATCCCGTAAACGCACGTGGAGCGTACGTCCCTGATCGCGTTCGTGTCCTGCGCTAAATGGACACGGGTTCCTCCGTCATAGAATGCATTTCGTCAGCTACTGCTTTGATTGTTTTGCTACTTGCTGTATAGTTATTCTTGAGTCCGTCACATACGATACCTCACACACCGCTCTCTTGCATGCACATTTCCACTGCACCTCCCTGTCATTTCCCGTATGTTCTCACTAAACTGTCAAGAGTATCTGTATCACTACATTCTCCTGCCACCTAAAGTTCCTAGAACAACACATGGCCCGAGCACAACAGACGAGAACACATCACGTATACCCGAATCTTCGCGTTCTTGTCACTCCAATTACCCCTTGAATACCGCCTCGTTCACATGCCAGCGCTCCGAGCTTCAGAATCCATACTGGACAAGATACGTGAGGCATACCATATGTGGAGCTCTCGACTAGTGTCCGACCGTTCTCTTACCCATACCTCTTTACTCGGTCCCGGCTACTGCAGGTCGTGGGGCACAGTGACACCATCCTCTTGACTACCGACCATCTGGTCCCGTACCCTACCTCTTTACTCGCCCCCGGCTACTGCAGAAAAGAAGACTGGGAACTGGACATGACCACGGCCTATCCGAAGCTGTCCCGGTCTGAGAGCGCTGTCAGTGAACAATAATATGCCTCGAAATATCTGCGCAGTGAACGCAACTTCATTTTGCCTTGGTACTTACCCTCTCAGGTGAAACTTCGAGGTAAGGCGCTTCGTACGTCTCCCTTGTATGGATACGGCGGTGAATAATAGCAGAGGGAATAATTCGTAGTCCATGATTCTACCGCGAATGCACTGGCAGCATGCGTAGAACTCTTTTCCCCTGAAGGACTTCTGTCTTGGATAAATGTTCAGTATTTAATTTCATATCAGGAAAAATAGTGTTCTCATACGCCGGCAACGAAGAAAGCTTTTCCTAAAACAGAACTTAAAATATTCTTAATGTGTGACTTTCCATCTTATTATGCAGGCTGTAAGTCTACCAGCATTCCCACGAGCTGCTAAGTCATCCAGCATGCCTCACGCTCTCATCAACAAACCTGCCCCTTCGTTGTCTCTGCCAGATGCGAAGGGCGAAACGTATACCTTGGCACCCGGGACGAAAGGAGTACCGACTGCGCTGTTCTTCTACCCTGAATCTGGTACGATAGCCGGATAGGACATGATTCCGATGGTTCCTGATCCAATTGGGTTCGTTACGCAGGCTCCTTTGGCTGCACCAAGGAAGCCTGTCAGTTCCGGGATGCCTTAGCCGGTGCGTAGCGTCCAATTGCGTTCCCTTCGGTGGAGCACGCTCCTCATCTTGATGCACAATTGGCTCGTCGCCAGAAAAGGAGTTGTACAAGCGCACGAAGGTGGAGATCGTCGGAATAAGCAAAGACCCTGTTGAGAAACAGAAGGCGTTCGTGGAGAAGGAGAAGCTGACGGTGAGGAGGTCTTGCTCGCGTTCGCATCTTATCAGATACCGATGACGGCACCGTCAGTACCCCATATTGAGCGATACAAATGGAGAGGCACGCAAGGCGTACCATGTCGGGAAGGGCCTCATGGGTCTCACGGACGCTCGTGTAACGTTCTTCATCGACTCCAAAGGTGTCGTTCGGTAAGTAGCTCACAGGCGCGTGTGAGAGTCAATGTGCAATCGAGCGTCTTACCTTCGTATGGAAACGGCCCGATTCACAGAGACGTCTTGGACACAACCGTTAATTACAATGCGCACGCGAAGTTCGTGACAAAGTGGCTTGATAAAGTGGAGGCGGAAGACAGTCAAGCGGCTAAGACTGGCGAGGCTGTTGCCAATCCCGCCCCCGCGGGTAGCGGCGACACGCCGACGGTGGATGCCACGGTTCCAGCTGCTGGAGACGCGTAGGTGCAAACCCAATAGGAGATTTGCATGGCTAGCATGGGGTGTCGTTCTACGTCGAAAGTCTTGTACTTGTTATTTGAATCAGACCTGTGAAATGTACCCACACATTCTATTCCGTGCGCACGCTATCGGATTGCAGTGGCATTGGCAGATGTCGCAGACATGTACTCATGAGCATTACTGATGGCAATACAAGTCACATGGCGTAGGCTATACAGAATGTTCAAGGCGAAGCGGGTTGGCATCTGGGATCACTTGTTCATCCCAGGATTCATTGCCTCTGCGGCGTGTCAGCCAACCGTCACTACTGAGATTTGACAACAAGCCACGCACCAGCGTTGTGCTCTGCAAAGCGAGCCCCGACGCGTTCTGAGTGTTTCAGAAATTTATCCGTGCAGTTCAGGACACATTGTTCCTGTAGGCGGTACGGCCATCAGATCGCATCAACGGAATAAGATTTGTCCTAACTTCTTTTGATGAGAGGGCCTTGCTAGTGAAATCATTGCAGCATGCATTGAAACATCGTTCTACCAAGTTGGAGTACATTCTCAGGAAGTCTTGCATCTACGCCGGCATATTCAATCCCGAGACCTCCTGTTCCGGTTCCGGACACCTCATACCTGCTTCTTCTCAATCACTTTTGACATATGTGCCTGCTCGGCCGCGTTCATCTGAGAAAAGTCCATGGTGGCAGTAATACAAGTTCAAGAAGCCCGAAGCGCGACAGCCCTCAACGCAGACACACGTTCGTTCCGTATCACGTGACGTGATATATATGGGCGCCTCCTGAAAAGCTTGACTTCTCCTTCAGGCATCCACCTCCCTTCCTACCCGTTTTCTCCATCGGTCTGTCTGATCTTTCGCTCGGCCAACGTTTTTTTGATCCGGTTCCGATTGCTTGGTCGCTCAACAGTGGGTATAAGAACACCACCATGGCCCCTTCCACTTTCATTCTGCACTTTGCATCCCCCTTCTCGGGCCTCCGATTATTCACGTTGCGCTCATTCCAGTGTCTAATATGGCCATAACTATTCGGGAGGCTCTTGATCAGCTCGAGGACCGTCGTGTCAAGAATATCAGGCCTCTCATCCCTCCTCAGATCCTGCAAGAGGACTTGCCGCTGTATGTCGTCACCATTCTATGCGCAGCGGGTCTTTCTTACGCCATTTCAGTACTCTGCATGCAGTACAGACAGTGCTCGAGGGCCGAAAGACGGCTGAAAACATCCTTCGTTCGAACGATGACAGGCTGCTCGTTGTCGTTGGGTACGGTTCAGACGCTCTTAGCACTTTCAGGTCGCACTGACGCTTGCTCAGCCCATGTTCAGTCCACAATGTCGAGTCTGCCCTGGAGTATGCACGCAGACTCCGCGCTTATGCTGAACAAGCGAAAGATGATCTCGCGATCATCATGCGGGTGTACTTCGAGAAGCCTCGCACCACCGTAGGCTGGAAGGGCCTAATCAACGACCCCGACATGAACGGGACATTCCAAATCAACAAGGGCCTCCGTTTGGCACGCACGTTGCTTCTTGACATCGCCAAGATGGGTCTACCGGCAGGCTGCGAATTCTTGGACACAATCAGCCCGCAGTACACGGCTGATCTCGTCTCATGGGGCGCCATTGGTGCACGAACGACCGAATCACAAGTACATCGCGAATTGGCTTCCGTTCTTTCCATGCCTACGGGATTCAAAAACTCCACCGACGGCAGCGTCGGCATCGCCATCGACGCTTGCCGAGCCGCCAGCCGTCCGCACGTTTTCCTGAGTGTGGGTAAGGAGGGTCTCAGCAGTATTGTCGAGACACAGGTGAGCATCAGATGCAGTGATATCGCAAGCTACTCATTGGCTGAACTCCGAACAGGGCAACCCAGACGTGCATGTCATCCTGCGTGGAGGTTCTAGTGGACCTAATTACGCCGCCGAGTACGTGCGCGATTGCGGAGAGAAACTTGCAAAGGCTGGCTTCCCGCAGAGAATCATGGTGAGCACCACGCTAGAAAGATGTTAACACCCTCGTTCTCACCTCCAGTTCTCGAATGGCAGATCGACTGCAGTCACGGAAATAGCTCCAAGCAGCATAGAAAGCAGATAGAGGTCGCAGAGAACATCGTGAGCACTTACAGCGGGTATAGCTTCCCGCAGCTTCTCACAGTGGTTATAGGCTCAACAGCTAGAATCCGGAGATACGTCTTCAATGATCATGGGTGTGATGATCGAGTCCAATCTCTTCGAGGGACGTCAGGATATTCCGGTGGCAGGCCCAGCAGGGTTGACGTATGGCCAGTCTGTAACCGGTAAGCGCCTCAGCGAACCTGCGGTTCATCGATGACCCATGGTCACCTGTAGATGCCTGTCTATCGTGGGAACAAACTATCCCTATCCTTGAACGACTCCGACAAGGCGTTCGGGGTAGGAGAGCTCTTGTCCGGAATAGAGTCAGGGGTCTCGATGCCAATGGCGTCAAGCTCAATAGCGCGAGTGAAGCTAATGGCGTCAAGCTCAATGGCAAGACCGACGATACCGTCAAAGTAAACGGTACCAACGGTATGAGCGGCGTGCACGCCTGACTATCTGCCTTGCAAGCGATCTATACATATATCCTCTCTCTATGTAGATTTATCGTCGAGTTTTATCATGTACGCTAGATTGATCCCCCCATCGATGCTGTTGATCCTGACTTGATGCTTTCGTTATGCCGCTCGGCAACCGAACCAGGAGTTGTTCGCGTGTTCCACGCAATGGATACTACGCGACATACCTCTCCCCAGCTTCCATTGCACCGTATCCACCGCAGCAGCCCCGCATGCTTTGCTGGCTGTCCACTCCTCTTCCGTAACCCTTTCGGACTCTCTGCTTGGACTCTCCGCAAATGAGCTGACTAGATAGCGTTATCGTGTACAGCGAGGCAGCGTGTGGAATGCTTCGCATTCCGCTCGCTCATCATGGGATTGGCCGCCATCCAAGGTGGTTACTTCTTGCGAGTATCTTCGTGTTTTATGTTATGAGACACAGTTCACAAATGCTTTTCTCAGTGTTCACACGTTCTGTTACACGTTTGGCCTGCATGGTTGCGTGACCATAACGAGGCTGAACGGCGCACTTGCTTGCCTGCGAGGACATCCTTAGAATCTCTCTTCACCGAGGTTGTCAAGCTACTTCTCAGACGAAGAATACCCTGGAGTCGGTATAGTCCTGGCTGACTTCGTGCATCTAGAGTCACAGGCTCATGTGAACCGGCAGAATCCTGCTACGAATCCCAGTCGTCACCTAACGCCGAGGACGCATACCATTGCACGCGTGCCACTTCTGTCCGTGTTGTCCGCATACACGAAATATAATGTAGGGTCACCGCTGCCGGTGTGATCTTTGAAAGGCGATCATGGTATTCCATCGCACTGCAGGCATCGATCGCACGGCATCTGTCCGACCCAATCACAGGATACCTCACGCTGTCATTGGCAACAATGTTATCGAGCATATGCCTTGCGCAGCCATTCTCTACCATCCAGTGGCATACAGCGCTCCTTCAGGTACGCTTGAACATCGATGGTTTGGAGAGTCCTCGGGGTTCAATCGGCTATCGTTGTAGACTTCCGGCATTCCCTTAATTCAGGTCAGACTCCCATAACGCATTTGCGGTAGATGGCTCACATGCATCTGCAGGCTACACTTCTACCCAGTCAAGCCTCGCCTAGCATATCCTACGCAACTCTAGCCAGCCTTACATCATCTAGCTCACTATCGCTTACATTGCTCAACTATGTGAGTGTGTTATGCTGAAAACTCTGCTCCCTCTTAAGCTTAGGTGTACAATGACCATGCAGGGTCTTACAGTACAATTTCTACGATTTGTTGTTTGCATCTGGCCTCTGCATCCATACATTAGTCCTCGTCATAACGTCTCAGGATAACCTTCGTTCATCCCTGCTTGTTGCATTTGAGAAGGCTACCAGGCAGACTCCGTCGACCTATATATGTCGTGCCTTGGCAGAGTACACGGCGCTGGCTGTGACATTTTGTAAGTGTATTGCTCAGGCATCGAGGGAAGTACTAAGTCTACTTGCCAAGCCAGACTGGAACGTGGGCGTCCTATCGACGACCAGCGTGGCAACATACGTGCTGTTTGCGTGCTTGAATGTCAAGCATTGCCCATTCGCTGTTGTCGTGGGATGTTCTCTAGCCATCTCCGCGTCGGCCATCTACATGTCCCACTGTTCGGATTCTGTCGAACAATGCCACAGGAAGGTGGGCAAGCACCCTCTTCCTGACCGACCAGGCTTGACTGAACATGAGCTCAGTAAGTCGCTGTATCCGTACGCAGATTGCTCAGTGGAGTGGTCGTTGTCTCCATCGCCTTCTATCTAGCGTTCGCTGCTTCCCACGGGTGGCCAAGCGCAGTAACGCGCCTTGGCGTTAGTGGATCGAAGGCCGTAGCCGGAATTCTCTTCGCCGCATCAATAACGTGCCCGCGAAAGCCACTTGCGTCACTGCAATACTGGCCCGGAGACCGGACGTATCATGCTTTTGACAATGTGCTCTTGATTGTCTTCTTCAGTCACGCAAGGTACGACGCGAAACTGGATTATTACCGAGAGGTATACTCCCAGTTCTTCCCCAACGTTAGTGGTTTTCGCGTTCTGGTAGACTACTGCTCAAGTATAGCGTTTGCAGATTGTTTTCGTGGGCCCAGGTAGCAGGAAAGACCCAGGTTTTCGTCACTCATACGATGTACTGGTGGACTCGTACCAATCCGATGAGGACTTGGCCGACGCGCACGTCTACAAGATGGCAGGAAGGGTAAGGTTGTTGACTTCACTCATGTTCGTCATCCAAGCCGATCGATGTCGTAGATGGCTCATCGTATGCTATATACTGCAATGAAGGAGCATAACTGCTACGACGGATATCTATGGGCACCATTTATACATTACTGAACGTCCCGCGATTGCGGCAGTTTCACCAGCGGTACTTTTGGTACCACTCACTGTTCGCCCAGTATGTGCACAACCCTGCCTTAGGCAACGCGGATGCCAATGCCAATGCAAGTCGGCATGCCCCTCCATATATCGCCCGATCCTTAAACTGACAACACGTCAACGTGGAGAGGTAAGCAAACGCACGCTTTCGCTTATAGGCGCTTTGTGTGGATGACTGACAAGATATTGATAGGTGGGGGTATGTATCAGACACCAATACTATTACTCCATCCTCACCTTCCGCTGAAACACAGCGAACCTGATGTCGGCCTGAATGTGTGTCTGCGGCTTTTCACCGTGTCCCGCACATCCTCCAGGAGCGATTGAGGATGTACACAAACGGGACCTCGCGCCTCATTGGTGGATCGGCTGATGATACCATATACATACCCAGCAGGGTGTTCATGGACATGCTTGCGACCTTCCTCGAGACAGATTGTTTCCTAGAGATCGCCAACCCGACCGTAGTCCATCTTGTTAACCCGCCTGACGAGCCAATTTTATACATCGACCACGTCCGTGTCTTCCATGCTTTCTCATGTGTAAAATTAAGAGTGTTGACGATTCCAACACAGTGATGGATCTGGCAACCTCCCTTCAATGCGACATTTGTGCGTGAGAAGTGGTGGGAGGGTTAGAAAGTCGACATACGTTCCACTGGGGCGACCAGAACGCAGACGGCGTTTGGTTCGGCAATCGAGAGCATATCTCAGACATACGCGGATTGTTTGTCAAGTCCGCTAGGAGACGAGGTCCCCAAAGTCTGAAGGCAGAACTCTATGCTATTCTCCATATGAGACAATTGTCAACATCTGTACATTCCGCCATAGTCCACCCACTACACTTGCGTACAACACCGATATAGTACGAATTTTCTAGCCCTAATTCTGCTGGCTATTGGCATAAACGTAGGCTTGCTTCCCGAGCAACTATGCTGATATGCTATAAGTACAGAACGGATCTGCGGGAGTTAGAAACTACAATCGTGATGACGGGCGCCTCGCTACAGAACTGCGGGCTAAACGCAAGCTGACCAGCCGAAGCCGTTAACAACAACAGTAGAACAGTTCAAGGAATCTGAAGCAGAACAAGAGGCTCAAGGCGGTGTCGATGGCTTTAGGCTGTGACAGTCAATTTGGACTGTAAGATGAGTGTCACACACTCAGGAGAACGCGGGCAGATCCTGCAGTTGAATGGCTTCGGGTGCCTACCCAGAGGTCAACTCCCATGAAATGTGGCACGGAAGCGGGAGCCGACGCACGAGACATGCCCAGAGGTAAACGCCAGAGGTGGTGTATATTCGCGACCGTTTTCGTCCAGCGGTTTCAGGATGTCAAATACGGCTAACGTCTGCGCGATGGACAGAAAAATCGAGGACTTGGCGAAGTTGATTCCTGGGCATCGTCTACGAGCGACAGCGTCTGGGAATGCACGATTCAGGAGGAATGATATGTGCCATACCGTCTACCGAAGCCAAACGAGAATTCTTGAGGATCCGTTTGCACATTTCCCATGAAGCGTTCCGGATTGAAACGTTCATCCTCGGGGTACATCGTCGTGTCATGCATGATCGACCTTTACAACATCTCGCATGAGTGATTATAGTAGCAATGAGAGTATGACAAGCTACCATGAGTTCGCCATGACCCAAGAGTCTTTAGGAATCCGAAAGCCACAGTACTCGTCGTCTTCATGAAGGCTATGAGGTATGAGAGGAACAATAGGATTGAAACGATGCAATTCTTTGATGAGGCAGCCTATGTATGGAAGATTGCTTTCGTCCGTCATTACTGGAAGACGTGCACGGCCGATTACTTTGTCAATTTCGGCTTGAGCTTTCTTTTGGATATCTGGATAGCACGTCACGATCAAAAAGAATGCAGTGATTAATGCAACGGTCTGTGCAAATTCTCGTAAGCAGAGCTTTAAAATCAGCCAAAATATTCTCAACTGTATCCGTTCCGCCTTGAGAAAGTGAACAAAATCAACAGATGCTACACATGCAGGCAGCCGAAATAATCATACCGGCGTAAATGCTAGCTGCTGCCCATTTGATGATATCCTCTTCTTCTACACTTGGTGGTTCTCCAGTCTCTTCTTGTACTGACTCCAAGGCACGAGAAGTGAATGAAGGCACGGCAGTTCCTTGAGACTGCGCACAGCGCAATCTAGCGAATTCAATATGGGGACAAGGACTGGACGTACCATGTTTCGCTTGACCATATCGTACGGCGCATTCGTAAACTCTTCGCTTTGAAGGTGAGCTTCATGAGCCCATCTCTTGAAATGAGCCCCGGGGAACCATGATGGTATATGACGCACTGAGATACGTGAATACAGAAATAAAATGAAATATAGCAACGACATACGCCATGGGAATGAATCTACGAGCCACTTTCCCGGCTCTGACGCTTCTGTGGTGATGTAAGCCAGTTTCTCGGCCAGAGTAACATAGCAATCTTCTCCTTCAGTTAAGGTATAACCATAGGCCAGCTTCAGTGTGACTGCACCGGCATTCCTTGACGTGGACACATTCAATTCACTGCATGGTGATGGATAGTTGGTCGACTCACCGACGAATGTGCGCAATGAAATCGTCCGGAGTCCGGAGTAATGCCTCCAAGAAGATGATAGATTCGGCTTCCTGGAAGCTCCAGTAATCCATAGCGGTGCGGCTATTCAATGCATTTCGTAGGTGCTTCCTATACCTCCTCAGCCGATCACCATATTGGTTAAACAAGACGGATTTGCCCCGCCCCACTAGATCTCCCGCCATAGTCAGATGTGGTCTGTCGCTATACAAATGTCCTCGCTTGTCGAATAACTCTAAGGCGGCCGACGCAGAGTTGAGGATTATGAACTCCCTTCCGAGAGTATGCATGTACAATATGTCACCTGCACGGCCATCGAGACTCACATCAGTCGCGCTGATAGGCAACATCGTTGCGGACTCCCACCATAGGTTGAACCCCACTGGGTATACACCTTGCTTTGGTCCACGAATGGGATTTGATGTAGGTTTCCGATCCATGGGAGCGGCTTGGGACCTGTCGTAAAGGGGACATCAGGACATCTAAGTCATGAGCATGCGAGACCAGCCGATACCAGGTGGGACGGGCAGCTCATGCACACTTGAACGGGTGCGTATCCTAAGACGGTACAGTAGATAGAGCAAGATGCAAAGGAGAGCGGTAACGGAGATAAGATTGAACGCCATTGGGGATGCTGTCATATAGCGCATCTTGACTGGAGGCCGCATATTTATGGGAGAGCTATTGTGTGAATATTCGAATCGTCTAATGCTAACCTGTGGTCAATTCGCGACCGATTGTCGTTTAATGATCGCACACCCTCCATGAGGACTTGCAACTATTTTCCACCCAATAGCTCAGTGCTGCATTCATGTTCGCCATCTCAGATGAATCTCGTCTTTTGTTGGATAGATGAGAAGTAGAGGATCCAGAGTTGTTCATCATTCATCAGCGCGTAACCAAGGCCAGCTCCTGTACGCAATAGATGATCAATAAATGCACAGCCGTTCTTGTGCCTGCCGAGGCACATTTTGGACATAATGGTAAGAAGAACGCACAGTATAAACCACAGATCAATGAACAACTCCTCCCAGGGAATTGAGGCGGCGAGCCTGATGTGAAATGACCTTGGGAGCCCAAAGGATTGGAGCTCGAGCGATCGCACCCAAAGCACGTATGAACCTATCGTTACTCTGATTTCGGCGACGATGAGCCTGACACGAGGATCTCGAGTAGTCCACCAGTCACGACGTTCTGAGGTGACGCTTCACTGATTATGTTGTTAGTGTCAAGGAAGTGAGACTGACGGCAAACACACATTGATTTGGCTGAGAACAATTTATTGATCGGCATCTCTGCGGCAGCATTTACATGAAACCGAGCGATGCAGGATTCTGACTTTCTGGCAGTTCTGAGTGGTACCTATGTAAGAATTGGAAAAACAGTTCTGACCTGCGCTGTACGCCCGCATCTGCCGCTCCGACGCAGACCAACCACGCACCGTTGAGGGATCCTGCAATGAAGGTGTGTTCCCGCCGAGGTGATGCTGGGA